GATTGGAGAACTGGGCCCAAACTAACAAAACGGATTTCAACAGGGACAAATGTAAGATTCTACACTTAGGCAGGAAGAACAGGATGCATAAGATGGGGGACACCTGGCTTACTAGTAGAACAAGTGAAAAGGACTTAGGGATCTTAGTGGACCACAAGCTTAAATGAGTCAACTGTGTGATGCAGCAGCAAAAAAAATTCTAATGCTATCAACAGAAGTACAATATCCAGATCAAGGAAAGCAATAGTACCACTCTCCTCTGCCTCGGTCAGACCACACCTGAAATACTGTGTCCAGTTCTGGGCACCACAATTTAAGAAGGATGTTGACAAGCTGGAACATGTGCAGAGGAGGGCGGCCAAGATGATCCAGGGTCTGGAAAGCAAGCCTTATGAGCAATAGTTGAAGGAGCTGGGCATGTTTAGCCTGGAAAAGAGGAGACTGGGAGATATGATAGAATCATAGAATCATAGAGTTGGAATAGACCACAAGGGCCATCGAGTCCAACCCCCTCCCAAGCAGGAAACACCATCAGAGCACTCATCAGATAGCCATCTAAAGGGCTGTCACATGGAAGATGGAGCAAGCTTGTTTTCTCCTGCTCCAGAAGGGAAGATCCGAACCAATGGATTCAAATTACAAGAAAGGAGATTCCAACCAAACATGAGGAAGAACTTTCTGATAGTAATAGCTGTTTGACAGTGAAATAGTCTCCCTCGGGAGGTTGTGTACTCTCCTTTACTGGAGGTTTTTAAGCAGAGGTTGGATGGCCATCTGTCATGGATGCTTAGTTGAGATTCCTGCATTGCAGGGGGTTGGACTAGAACTGAGGTCCGTTCAGACTCTACAGTTCTATGATTCCTTAGAAACCAAGGATTCTCCTCCTACCACAGGGGCCAGAGGCAAAAGCGGACAGAGCAATGCTCTTTACTTTCGTACAGCAGGCTAGTTTCTACACCAGGAATGGGAAAGCTCAGGGATAGGGGCCAAATATGGCCCTCTTTGTGTCCCTAACAAACCTAAACCTAGACAGCATCTTAAAAAGCAGAGACATCACCTTGCCAACAAAGGTCCGTATAGTTAAAGCTATGGTTTTCCCAGTAGTGATGTATGGAAGTGAGAGCTGGACCATAAAGAAGGCTGATCGCCAAAGAATTGACGCTTTTGAATGATGGTTGTGGAGGAGACTCTTGAGAGTCCCATGGACTGCAAGATGATCAAACCTCTCCATTCTTAAGGAAATCAGCCCTGAGTACTCACTGGAAGGGCAGATCCTGAAGCTGCGGATCCAATACTTTGGCCACCTCATGAGAAGAGAAGACTCCCTGGAAAAGACCCTTGGGAAAGATTGAGGACACAAGGAGAAGGGGACGACAGAGGATGAGATGGTTGGACAGTGTTCTCGAAGCTACCAGCACCAGCATGAGTTTGACCAAACTGCGGGAGGCAGTGGAAGACAGGAGTGCCTGGCCTGCTCTGGTCCATGGGGTCACAAAGAGTCAGACACGACTAAAGGACTAAACAACTAAACAACAACAACAACAGGCGTCCCTAGCTGGCCCATGGGCCTCTCCAGCCAGGCTTCCGATCTTTCCCCAAGCCTTGCCCCTTGCCAGTGTGATAAGAATTTTAAAGTCTTAGATATATAATAAATGTTCATAAATGTACCAACCAAGCACGTACTTAGATCAGCACAGGAAGACCGACCTAAAACCATTTTTGATTCCCAAACTGACCAAATGTTTTCTCTGCAAGGTCAAAGGAAAATGGAAAAGTCTCCCCATTGTTTATTCCTTCACAAATCCTGTCTTAAGGGTATGTCTGTCTGTGTTTTAATAGGGTGAGCCTGTGACCTGGCTCAGGAACTAAGTATTTATCATTACAAAAGACTGCCCAGGCTCCCCAGGGTATCCAATCAAGTGAGCATTAAACAGGTAACCTGTCAGACGAGATAAACAACACACTCAGATTTCTGCTGTAGACTGCCTTTTCTGTGATGTAGGTATGATTTATCTGGGGGGTGGTCTTAGGTTACACCCCTTCTGTGATGTATGTATTATGTTTGTGGGGGTGGTCTTGGACTCCAGGGCTGGCAATTTTAAATGTCTATATAAGGGCAGGCACACTTTTGTTCTGGGGTTCTCCTCCTTCTCCTGCGTGTGAAGGGGGCACCCTGTTGCAACAGTTCAATAAAGATCAGGCTTACTAGCTGCTTTGCTTCTCAATATTCTCTGGTTGGCCTCTGTTATTTTCTCCTACCAATAGGGAACTTACATAAGGACTCTATATGGGCTCTTGGATACCCCATAAGGGAAAAAAGGGCAGATATTTGTTTACAGCACCAGCTTCACACCCTCCTTGAGTGTTCCTGGCTGTTTGGAGTGTGTCCCAGAACTCAGATAATGGCTGGATAGAGATTAGAGAAGGGCTCCTGAGTGTGCATAGAAACTAGCTTATGGTAGGAAGTTTACATCCACTGCTCAGTGGCCTTTTGCCCTCCCCGCTACTGGCATGCAGCCCCCAGGGTTGCCATACGTCCAGATTTCCCTGGACATGCCTGGGATTCCAAAGGCAAAATCACCATCCAGGGTGGATTTAAATTTTGAAAAATGTCCAGGGTTTTTTGGGGTGTGTGCTGGGCGAGTGGGTGAACAGTCTGCCTGTCAGTCTGGCGGGTGACTGGCTGGCCAGCTGAGAAGACCCCGCTTCTCCCCCACGGTGAGTTAAGAGCCACGCCAGGCCTCCCTCCTCTTCCCCTCGGCAGTCTCTGGGTCCAGGCCTGGCCGCAGCCCCCACAGCCCTACTGAGCCCCCCACACACAAATGTTAAAATGTGAGGACTCTTGCTTGCCGTTTTGCTCCCTCGCCCAAAAATCAAACTTCTCATTAATCCAAACATTTACCGTATTTTTCGCCCCATAGGACGCACTTTCCCCCTCCAAAAATGAAGGGGAAATATGTGTGCGTCCTATGGGGCGAATGCAGGCTTTCGCTGAAGCCTGGAGAGCGAGAGGGGTCGGTGCACACCAACCCCTCTCGCTCTCCAGGCTTCAGGAAGCTATCCCCCCAGCCCGGCAAACTCCGGGAGCGATGGCAAGGTTGCGCGCAACTTCGCCATCGCTCTGGGACCTGTTCTGGGGGCTGGGGTCAGGGAAGCTCCGGGCTTCCCCCCCCAGCCCCACAAGCAATGGCGAAGCTGCGCGCAACTTCGCCATCGCTCTCGGACTCTCCAGGCTTCGCGCAGCTCTCCGCAAACGGTGGGAGCCCGGTGCTGGGCTCCCATGGCTTGCGGAGAGTTGCCTGCATGCCGAAGCCTGTGAAGCCATAACCTCTGCTCATGTGCAGAGTACATCACACACATGATTAAACATACAGTGGTGCCCCGCAAGATGAATGCCTCGCAAGACGGAAACTCGCTAGACGAAAGGGTTTTCTGTTTTTTTGAGCTGCTTCGCAAGACGAATTTCCCTATGGGCTTGCTTCGCAAGACAAAAAACGAAAACGTCTTGCAAGTTTGTTTCCTTTTTCTTAACACCGTTAATACAGTTGTGACTTGACTTCGAGGAGCAACTCATAGAATGCGGTGTGGTAGTTAAACTTTTAGAACTTTTTGGGGGGGTTTTGGATTTTGGGTTGGGGTGTTTGGAATTCAAGGACTTGGTGTTGGGGAGGGGTTTGCAAGAATCTGGAAGCTTGTGTTTTTTTTCTGCATTTTTATGATTTTTATTGTTCCTTCAATTTTTAAATTTATTGTTCCTTCAATTTTTGAAATGCTCTTTACAGTATGTGTGACTTTAAAGAGCACTTAATAAACTATTGTACCAAATTTGGCTTTGTTTGGACTTTTTTTGACCATAGGAACGCATTAATTGAATTTCAATGCATTCCTATGGGATTTCGTGCTTCGCAAGATGAAAAATTCGCTTGACGAAAAAACTCGCGGAACGAATTAATTTCGTCTTGCGAGGCACCACTGTAATTGGCCTCTTTTGCCTAAGATAGGAAGAGGATCCTCCAGGTCTGGGAAGGATAGGCAAATCCACGTGACATCCATACAGGCTTAGATACAAAGCTTTCCATTTTAGAAATTCATTGAGAAACAAACTCACCCCCCCCCCAAAAAAAACACAGTTGCATTTACAACATTCAGAGCTGGCTGGCCCATGAGGCAAGGCAAAGCAGTCAGATCCAGGCCCTAGGAGCGTGCCACTTGCCGCCTTCTCCATGCCCTCCCCACCACCGTGCCCCCCCCACTTTGTGCCCCCCCACCTGCTCCTCTCCAGCCTCCTTTTCTCTTTTTCCTGGGCCACCTCCAGATGGCAGTAGGGGGGTCTGGCAGGGAGGGGCAGAGAAATATCCTGGCCTGACGCTGCTCACATTCAGTGTTGTAGAATTATGTTTCCGTTTCAAACAATACCTATTATTTATAAGATTTTATGAAGACTTTTCATAATACATTACAATAAAAAACAAACTAATCTAAACAAAAAGAAAAAAGAAAGAATATATAACAGTGTATGTGCTGTCACCTGTTTCCTTTTTTACTATTTCATTATGTATTGATTGATTACAAGACTTTATAGAGTTTTATCTGTACTGTAACCTGCTTTAGGATTGTTTAATACTGAAAGTGGGTAATAAATTTTATAACTAAATTAAACTGTTTCAGAAGAAGCCCGGTTGAGTTATTTGGGACAGACTTACAGATAAGCGTGCACATGTTTGCACACTTAGCTGTGCAAAACAGAACATTAAGAAAATGTGCCACCACCAGGCCTTTAGCAGTACTTTCCAGGTTACACTGGAGTTAAATACTTGACATCTCCATATATTAAAGTAACAAGAAGCAGCTGTGAAAAAATCAGCATTTTGTAGTTTTTTTAATTAATTATTAATAATGATGGCAATTGTTGTTTTTCTTATTTTATTGCCATAATTTTAATATAGAAAAGAAATCTGGAAAAACCATTATCCCTTAGTCTCAATAAAAATGTCACTCACCTTTGTGGGTTTCAAATTCTGCGTCTTCTGTTTCCTGGAGCGTAACCATCGATCCCGCTCCTAGAGCAAGGAATGTCTTTTAAATAATTTATTTAGTATAGATTCAAAATACGTAACAGATAATCATGGGTGTGGAATCTAAAATTCTAACATGCTGCACAGCAAAGTTAAAGACCCCATTTCCATTTCTTCTTCTGAAATACACACTTTTAAAACTACCATATTTTTCGCCCCATAGGACGCACAGGCCCATAAGGCGCACCTAGTTTTTTGGGGGGGAAATAAAGGGGAAAAAATTATTTCCCCCCCAGGCGCGGGGCTGGGGAAGCCCGAGCTTCCCCCAACCCCAGTCCCGAGAACAGGCAGCTCTCCGCAAGCCGTGGGAGCCCAGCGCCGGGCTCCCATGGCTTGCTGAGAGCTGCGGCAAGCTCGAAGCCTGGGCGTGCTGAGCTCAGCGCGCCCAGGCTTCGGCATGCAGGCAACTCTCCACAAGCCGTGGGAGCCCATCGCCGGGCTCCCATGGCTTGCGGAGAGCTGCACGAAGCCTGGAGAGCGAGAGGGGTCGGTGCGCACTGACCCCTCTCACTCTCCAGGCTTCAGCGAAAGCCTGCATTCGCCCCATAGGACGCACATACATTTTCCCTTCATTTTTGGAGGGGGAAAAGTGCGTCCTATAGGGCGAAAAATACGGTAGTTGCCGCAGAGTAAAATCTGGGAGAAACACAGCGAATCGACAATGTACACAGCTGACAAGCCATGAGAAATGGAAAGAGATTTTGGATAATTTCACTTATCCGCTCCTTCTTTTATGAGATAGATTCATGAGTTATGAGAAACAGAAATGAAAACATGAAAAAGAAGATGGGCTTAAAACTGGACAAATAGATTATTTCCTTCTAATTCAGGAGTAGGGAACATTTTCTGTTCAGGTTCTTATTGCCCCACCCTTGGCAGGCCAATGTTAACAGCGAGGCAGGGCCACTTACCTGTTAATCACCTAACCTCACAGTGATGTCAGGTGATGCTTCCCTTTGAAGCCCTGATTGTTGGGACTTCAAAGTGAAGCACAGAATTTTCAAACGGCCCTTTGTAAACATCCACATGCAGGAATATAAATTAATATTGGGGATACTACATGCCCACTTCACTTTTTGGCTTGTAAATACAACTTTTTCTATTATTTGTGATCTTAACCCCCAAACACATAGCCTTCTGTTATACTTTGCCAAAAATACAATGCTTTGAAAGCAGCAAACATGACTGTCTGTTGTCACAAGGCTGCTCCCCTCACTTTCCCCTGCTCCTCCTCCATGGCTGATGTGACAAGGAAGAACATGAATTTGGGTAGGGGAGGCTGTTCCAAAATACAATGTATGCTATATTTGGATCAAGTGACCATGTGCCCTTACAAATGTCTCTCCAAGGGAATAAGAAACGAATGCCAAAGCAAAGATTAATAGTAACTGCATATTACCATCGTCAGATCATCAATAAGATGCCGTTGTTCTATAATTTGCAATTTAAGAAATTCAACTTCTGGTTCTTCATGTGTGCTACTAAGGTCATTCAATGATGTGTGCCTCCTCATTGTTGGCTGAGCAGATAGCTTTTCTCTCTATAAAAAAATATAATTTCATTAACACAACCAAATCTCACACTCTCACACCCTCTTTGGTTCCAGCCAAAACAATACTAGTACAAAAAGGTGGTTGGTAAACATCCTTGCCCTTTTCCAGTCATGAATTTAAACATTATCGTTCAAAGAGAAAACAGTAAAACACATCTGTGAAAACATCAGCATTAGCAGTGAGACCGAATTACTTGTAATCCTAAACAGAGCAACTGCCAATAACCGGTGCTATTATCCCTTTCACATGGCAGAAGTGTGAGTCTTGGGTGAAAGTGACCACATCAACTTGGGATTCAAGATACTGGGAAAAGATAAAGTTGAACGTGGTCATATGTGCACCCTGGACTTTGGAAAATCTGATTTCAGCAAGCTTAAGTAAATACTGGGTAGGTGATGTGTCATTTGGGGCAGGGGTCCTAAGCATCACCAGTTTTCCTTTTGTTGAAGTGCCCATTAAAGTTTCTTAGATTTCCAAATGTGCCTCTAGGCCCAAGAAGATTCTGGAGCCTGAATGCAGAGGCCCAAGAAGCCTAGGGCAATGGGGTTCCCGGCTCAAACCCTAGAGATGCTGAGATCTTACCTGCAAGTCCTGTGGGGCCTGCTCCCATCTTTGCTGGCCTATTTCCACCTGGGCTGAGAGAGGGGAGGCCAAGACCATTTCCAGCTACGAAAGCTGCTGCAGGAGGTACCAGAGACCGTCTTGACTGTGAGTCTACACAGGATGTTTAGGGACTACTGTGTGGGCCCAGATTTAATTACTTTTGCTGTTTTTGTTATTATGTTTTTGTGTTTTGTCATTAGATCTTATCGTGAATTATAAGGGATTTTTCAATTTTATTGAATATTTCTTAATGGGATGCTTTCGTTAGCAGATTATTTAGATTCTGCTGTATTTTGTAACAAGTGAATGATGTGATTTTTTCATGTGAGACCCCACAGGCAGCATACAAATAAATGGCGAGGACAAGGGTGACGGCACCCTGAGTTGGGTAAGATCCTGTGGGCTGGGGTTGAGCTGATGCCTTTCCTCTTCAAGCCCACAGCATGGTAAGCAGCTGGACACAGCAGCTGACCACTTGACCAGTTAAAAAATGATCAGTCCAGAATGTGTTACATTTTGACTCTGCAGGCCATATGTCAGGGGTCAGCAAACTTTTAAAGCAGGGGGCCAGGCCACTGTCCCTCAGACCTTATGGGGGGCCAGACTATTTTTGGGGGGGGGAATGAACAAATTCCTATGCCCCACAAATAACCCAGAGATGCATTTTAAATAAAAGGACACATTCTACTCATGTAAAAACACGCTGATTCCTGGACCGTCCGCAGGCCGGATATAGAAGGCGATTGGGCCGGATCCGGCTCCTGAACCTTAGTTTGCCTGCCCATGCCATATGTTATAAAGTACTACATACATATTTGGCTACACATTGGGTAATGACTCATTTTGTTAATTATCCTTCTTGGATCTGCAGATGCTCCCAAAGAAAGATAAAGAACAACTGTAATTTCTGTTTTTGAGCTACCCAACACTCTTAGAAAATACCTTAAAAATAGGAATTATGTCAATGTGCCAATCAAGCAGACTGAATCAAAATCTGCAGTAGGACTTTCCACCTGTAAAAATGTACTAGATAGAGTGAAAACCACTTTATGGAAAAGATTTATGAGAAAACGGGTTATAAAATTTATTAAATAAGTAAATAATATTACTGGCTATAAAAGCAAAAAGGGAGCAGAGCACTTTCTGGTCATCCTTCTCACAACTGGAAAACGAATCATCGGAATCTGTGACCTGAAGATGTCGACTGCTTACCATTTCGACATTTTCCCTAGAAAGACGCTTAAGTTTTTCTTCCATTCTTTGTATACTCTGCAGCAAGCTCTCGTTCTTTTTGTTCAGCCTTCTGTTTTTTTCTACAAGTGGCTTCACCTGCACTTCCATCTCCCGAGACCGCTTTAGCTGCAAAAAAAGTTGCACTTTTTTGTTTTTGTTTTTAAAGCAGATCTGTTCTGCACGGGGTTGCAAGTGGGTAGCTTGTCAACAGAGGCCCAGGTGTCCTCTGGGGCTAAGAAGGCCTTTTACCAGCCTCATCCGGTTTGAGAGCTAGTGGCATTCCAGGACAAGGATAGCCTGGCCACTGTTGTCCATGCTTTGGCTGGACAGACATGTGCTCTTATGTGGGGCTGACCTGAGGTCTGGTTTGAAAGCTCCAGCTGGTGTAGAGTGTGCTAAGCCCTAAACAACTCAGGACGCAAATACCTCAAAGACTGCCTGCTTCCCTATGGATCCTCTCAGGTGCCAAGATCTGCAGAGGCGGCCCTCCTGGTAGTTCCTCCACCTTCGGACCCTCAGCGGGTGGCAGTTTGGGAGAGAACATTCAAAGCTGTGTAGCTCCCACCCCACAGAGGTGCTCTTGGCACCGTCATTATACAGCTTCCGGCAAATGCCAAAGATTCACTTCTTTGCCCTGCCCTTTGACGCTTGATGTGTATATTTTTAGGACCCAACTTAGTTCTGTAACTGTAAGTTGTTTGTTTTTAATATTGTGTTTTAATGTTGTAACCCAACCTGGGACCTTAACAACATCATCTCCCTCCCTTACTCTAAGCAAAAAACAAGTCCCAAATACAGCCTTTCTTCATAAGGGAGTTGCTCTGACCCCTTAATCATTTTGGCTGCCTTTTTCTGAACCTTCTCAAGCTTTATAATGTCTTTCTTGAGTTGAGGCAACCAGAGCTGGACACTATATTCCAAGTGGGGTCTTGCCATATACAGTGGTACCTCTGGATACAAACGGGATCCGTTCTGGAGCCCCGTTCGCATTCTGAAGCAAATGCAACCCGCGTCTGCGCATGCTGCAATTTGCTGCTTCTGCGCATGACGTCATTTTGACCATCTGCGCATGCGTGAGCAGCCAAACCAGGAAGTAACGTGTTCTGTTACTTCTGGGTCGCCGCAGAGCGCAACCTGAAAGTGCTCAACCTGAAGCAACTTCAACCTGAGGTATGACTATAATAGCATTCTGACATTGGTAGCTCTCCGAGTTCTTCAATAACTGGTTGGATTAGATAAGTCTCGAGGGTCCCTTCCAACTCTACAATTCCAGGATTCTATGATTCTGAGGCGGATGCCATTTGGGCCTGGTGGTTTGCCCATTTTGTGTCTTGTCACCACTTTTACATCAGCTCCTCAGACTCCCTTTCTGAGACAGATAGCTCAGGCAGAGGGATCTGCCGTCCATCTCCCACTGTGAAGACAAACGCAAACACATTTGACTCCCTCGTCATCCAAAGGTCGACCCACTTCCCCAGCTGATCTCCTGCTTCTAACGTATTTAAATAAGTTTTGTCGTTCCTCTGTGTTTTTTTTGTAATACGCTCATCAAATTCTCTCTTTTTTTCATCCCTTATCATCTGCTAGAATTTCTTGTACCCAAGTTTCTGTTCTTTTTGCTCTCCTCATTTGGACAAGACTTCCATTTTCTGAAAGAAGCCTCCTTGCCTCTCACAGATTCCTTGCCTTTGCTCATTCCCCCTGCTGGCCTTGGAAGTATCTTTCCTGTTCTGTGGTATGTTCCCTAGCTGAGCTTCTGATATTCTATAATCCTGAACAACTGCTAAACATTTTGGAGAGATGCGTCCCCTTTCTACTTGCTTTTTACCCATACCCTTTTCAGGGGGAACTTTTCTTTTTTGTTAAAGTCAAATGTGACCTTGGCAAATGTCCACTTACATTATTTTTTATTTATTTATTTATTGAATTTGTTAGTTGCCTCATCTTGCTCAGGGGAACCCAAAGCAACTTACAACCGACAACAGACAACAACAACACAACCCTCCCTGCATAGATACATTAAAAGGATCCTGCCCAGTTCGAAAAGATTGTTTAATCAGTCAAAGGCCTAGTTATAGAGAGACATTTTCACCTGGTGCCTAAAGATACATAATGAAGTTGAGAGAAACTGATATTTTAGTGCGGCAGCATCTACACTTTAGAACCCCCTGCCTATTGACAGGTAGGTACATTCATTGTACTGTACTCTTTTCTGCACCTGCTTAAAACATTTTTGTATAGACAAGCCTATCCAGTCACACAGGTGTTGATGATGTAATTTAAATTTAATATATTTAAATGTTTTACCATATTTTTCTGTGTATAACACACCCCCTATTTTTTTGGGACTCAAAATTAAGAAAACGCACTATGCACTGTGTATAAGACGCCCCCTTATTTTAAATTTCAAAAATTTAGAGGAAAATATAGCCTTATACACAGAAAAATACGGTAAGTTGTTTTTAAATGTTTTATTGAAAATTTTAATATTTCTTGTAAACCCCTTGGAGGTTTTACTACAACCAAGCAGCGTATAAATTTTGTTAAATAAAACATCAAAATTACTTACTAGTTCATTCCTTTCATCTGCTAAAAGTGTATTTCTATCTTCCAGCTTCCGAATTACAGCGCTGAGTTCTGCTATTTTTAGCTGAAATCTCCGCACATCTCGTTCATCCATATGTTGCTCCTTGAAAATAAAAGGCTACATTACAGCACAAAACTGGGCACAACTTCATTTTACAGAAAAGTAAAAAAGCACGTGGAATAGATGGAGGAAGGTAGTGTTTTCTCAAACAGTGGGCAGAGACGACCAGCTGGCCTCAGTCTCCTTTGAGGCTGGCCTCAGGGGCACAGACCCCCACCCTCGCCCATTTCTGCCCCCCCCCCCCGGCCATGCTACTGCCTTTTGGCTGGACCTATGGCGACATGAGCAGCAAGTCTTCAGGCCCTGAATAAAAGTGGCAAGAAGGCAGAGGGGTTTGCGGGAAGAGACATGACGGTGAAGGGCCAGAGTGTGCACTCAAATAAATTAGGGTAATTTTTTTTTTAAAAAAGGTACCGTAATTAATAGGGAACAAAAAGGAAGGGGAGAAGATAGGAAAGCTGTTGTAGGAAGAAGCAGTAAAATAACAGATATAATAAAACTGCAAGGCTGTGATCTGGCTGCAATTTGTGTGGCTGCCGGACAGAAAAGCAAGTGGGCAGCTCAGGCAGGCAGGCGAGTAAGCAGTTCAGGAGACCCATGGAGGAACAGGCAGGGGCAGCTTCCAAGCAGCCATCTTGCTCCATTTTCCCTGTGCACCCGAGGCCACCATTTTGTCTGCATCCACATTGGCGGGTGAAGGGGAGGGAAGCAACAAAAGAGCAAGATGTTTGCTGGGGAAGTGACCGGGCCTGTTGTCCCTGTTCCTTTGTGGCTCGCCTGGGCCATGGTTTGGCAGAGCTATACAGGGAAGGGGCAGGGTTGACTGAGCAGGCAGACGAGTGGGCAGACAAGACCGATGAGGGGGCAAGAAGGAGAACAATAGGTCCGGTGCTAGTCTTTGTGTACTCTCTTCTGGGGCTATGACTATACAGATGCTGGGTTTGCTCTCTGTCCTGAAATCAAAGTTTTGGGGATCACAGCTTGTGTGTCTGAAGTGAGCTAAACCACAAGCCAGGGTTTGAACAACACATTAAGCCAAATCACAGCTTACCAAAAGCATAGAAGGATTACAACCAGAGGAGCAAAAAGGTAATCTCCTCTCTTAGAGCCCCCACATTTGATTGTTTGCACTAAGACATGATTTGGCTTGGCCTTGCAAACAAGGGCAGTGTCTCAGCTTAAGCCTGCAGTCCCCTCACCACCACCACCCGGGCAATACAGAGACAATAAAAATGGACTATGCACAATGTACTTCTGAACTATTGTTTCTAGCAGTAAAGTTCTCTGAAGGATGGAAACTGTTATGTAGTGTAGTTTCACCCTGGGCCAACAGGGGGATACTGTATATAGTTTTCACTCAGGTCTGTAGATAGTTTTCACTCAGGTCCGCGCCAGTTATTTTAGGCGGGAACTCTGGGCTGTTGTGGTTACAATGTTGACAGCCGGCTGCCTATAAATACAGGCCGGCTGAGCTGTTCGCAGTCAGTTCTATTCCAGCTTACCAGAATAAAGAGCTACTTGAAGAAATCGCTGTGCCGGCTGCTATGTCAACCCACGACTTAACACTGGCGACGAGGATGGGATGGATGGACATCAGAGCACAGCCAGATGCGGCCAGCCTCTGAACTGAGCTGAATCACTGAGCTGAATCACAGAGCGAAATCACTGAGCGAAATCACTGGGCAGAACCAATTCAGAGCTGACTGTTCTGGCTAGAGCACTGTGTTCCATCCATCGCCCTTCACGCCGGCATCAGAATCATGGCTTCACTTGTGCCTCTACCGCCGTTTGTGCCAGCCTCTGAATCATGGGACTCCTACCTCGCTCGGTTCGACTGCTACCTCCAAGCCAACGAGCTGACAGCAGTATCAAAGGATCGGAAGCGGGGCCTATTCCTCAGCCTCTGTGGGCCTGAGGTGTTTGAGACGGCCCGAGCGTTGGTTGCGCCTGAAGCAGTCCAGGCAACACCATGGGACACGATCCAAGAGAAGCTCCGCAACCACTACGCACCAAAGCCGTCCAAGATTGCTGCCCGCCATGCGTTCTACCACCGGAACCAGGCAGAGGGGGAGTCAATCAACAACTACACCACCACCCTGCGACAGGCTGCAATGCACTGTGAGTTCCGAGACTTAGACGATGCCCTGATGGATCGAATCGTCTGCGGGGTCCGGGACATCCATCTGCAACGGCGCCTCCTAGCCAAGCCAGACCTCACGCTACAGAAAGCCATTGAGGAGGCTGTGGCCTCAGAAGCTGCTGAACGCTCCGCCCAGGAGATCCGCAAGTCCAGCAGCCCGCGTCTTGCTAGGGAGCCAGTTCCGGTGCATCATGAAGAGGCCAGCAGTGATGAGGCATCCTCCAGTGAAGACGATGACGTGCACCAGACAAAGCGGGAGCGCAGGAAGTTCCAACAGAAGTCCAAGGGCCAACCGGAATGTGCTGGCTGCGGAGGCAACCATTCCCGTGCCAAGTGTCGATTCAGAGACGCCATCTGTAGGAAGTGTTCCAGAAGGGGCCACATCGCTAAGGTCTGCCGATCGGCTCCGTCTGACACCCCCCCTTCATCGACTCGCAAGTCCAAGTCTTCACTCCAGTCTGCCAAGGAAAGTTGTTTCGCTCTCACCAACTGCCGCTGCCCGTCTGGAACCACGATTGGTCAAACCGACTCGCCTACGCGACGCAAGCTGAACGTCACGGTGCTCATTGAAGGAGCTCCATGTGACATGGAGATCGACACCGGGTCTGCCCTGTCCATCGTGTCATGGAGCACCATCAAAAGACTGGTACCCAGAGTGTCCAAAAGGCAACTCGACTCTCACCGCGTACACCTGAGAGACTACCAGGGAAACGACATTCCCGTGGTAGGCGTTGGCCGGTTCCGGATCGCCTTCAAGGATTTTTCGGGCCTGCTCCGGTTGGTGGTGGTCGAAGGTCAGCGGCCAAGCCTCCTAGGGCTAGACTGGTTTGATGCCCTCGGCCTGGAAGTCACCGGCATCAACTGCATCTCTAACGCAGAGACTGAGGGTCTGGTCAAAGACTTTGCCGAGGTTTTTGACGGCACCTTGGGCCAATATACAGGTACGCCCATCTCCTTTAGCCTTGATCCACAAGTCGCCCCCATCAAGCTAAAGCCACGCCGGGTTCCCTTTGCTCTCAAGGCTAAGGTGGACGAACAACTGGACAAACTGATCGCCCAAGGAGTTTTGGAGCCGGTTGACCACGCAAAGTGGGAAACCCCCATCGTCACGCCTGTCAAGCCAGATGGGTCGGTGAGAATCTGCGCTGACTACAAGTGCACGATCAACAAGGCACTTCAGCAGCACGCTTATCCGGTTCCTGTTGTCCAACACCTGCTGCATTCGCTGGGTGAGGGTAAGGTCTTCGCTAAGCTGGACCTTGCCCAAGCCTATCAACAACTGCCAGTCGATGATGCCACTGCTGAAGCCCAGACGATCGTCACCCACCGGGGGCATTCCGTTGCCGCCGGTTGCAGTTCGGGGTGAGTGTGGCTCCTGGCATCTTCCAAAGCCTTATGGAGCGTCTCCTGCAAGGGCTTCCGGGCGTGGTACCATATTTTGATGACGTCTTGGTGTCTGCAGACTCACACCAGCAGCTGTTCGAGCGCCTCCGTGCCGTGCTGACCAGGTTCCAGGAGGCCGGGCTCAAGGTAAAGAGGGAGAAGTGCCAGATCGCCGTTCCACAGGTAGAGTTCCTGGGCTATCTTATCGATGCCTCCGGTCTTCATCCAACCACATCCAAGATCCGCGCTATCCAGCAGGCCCCCACTCCAAAGAACAAAACGGAGTTGCAGGCGTTCCTGGGGCTGCTGAACTTTTATAACATGTTCCTGCCCCACAAAGCCACAGTGGCTGAGCCTCTTCACCGACTCCTTAGCACTAAGACGCCTTGGGCCTGGGGTCATCGGGAGACGGCGGCCTTCAACGCGGTCAAGGCTCTCCTTTCTTCAGACAGTGTGCTGGTACAGTACAGTGAATCCAGGCCGCTGGTCCTTGCCTGCGACGCCTCACCTTTTGGCATCGGTGCTGTCCTTAGTCACCGTTTTCCAGATGGAAGAGAAGCACCGCTCGCCTACTTTTCCAGGACACTATCTCCAACGGAACGGAATTACAGCCAGCTCGACAAGGAGGCATTGGCACTTGTGGCTGGAGTGAAGAGGTTCCATGAATACCTCTATGGCAGGACTTTTGACCTCATCACTGACCACAAGCCACTCCTGGGCCTCCTCGCCGGTGATCGTCCAACTCCACCGGTCCTCTCACCACGCATGCTGCGATGGACTGTTTTCCTGGCTGCCTACCACTACCGGCTCATCCACCGCCCGGGGAAATCGATGGGCCATGCCGACGCCCTCAGCCGTTGCCCTCTTCCAGCATTTGTGGAAGACCCGGCTCCAGCTTCATCGCTCCTTCTGATTGAGGATCTTCCGGCAGCGCCTGTATCGGCTGCCACTGTGGCCTCCGCATCTGCCCAGGATCGCACCATCAGCCGGGTGCTCAACTGGGTGTGGAGGGGGTGGCCACAAGGGCCCTTTGCATCGGAGTTCCAGCCCTTCGCAACCAGACAACATGAACTCTCAGCTCATCGCAGCTGTCTGCTGTGGGGAGACCGCGTCGTGATTCCCCAGGGACTCCGTCAGCGCGTCCTGGAGGCTCTGCACGTTGGCCACCCGGGAATTGTCAAAATGAAGGCGTTGGCTCGGTGTTACGTCTGGTGGCCTAATATGGACGATGCCATCACTGCCTGGGTGTCCGCCTGTCAAGCGTGCCAGGAGTTGAGGCCTGCACCACCGGCAGCTAAGGGACACACCTGGGAGACGCCAAAGACACCCTGGTCGAGGGTGCACATCGATCTGGCTGGCCCCTTTCACGGCCGGACCTTTATGGTAGTGGTGGACGCCTATTCCAAATGGCTGGAGGTCGCCCTGATGCCCTCCACCACTACCGAAGCTGTCATCCGGGTGCTGCGAGGCCTGTTTGCAACGCATGGGTGTCCTGATGTCCTTGTCTCTGACAACGGACCGCAGTTCACGTCAGGCACGTTTGAGCGGTATCTTTTGGGACTGGGCATCCGCCATGCCCTAACGGCACCCTTTCATCCATCCAGCAACGGGCAAGCGGAAAGAATGGTGCGCTCGACAAAAGAGGCACTGGTGCGCCTGGACCGGGGAGACTGGCATGAGCGGGTCGCCGAATACTTGTTCGCGCAACACATCACCCCTCATGCGGCCACAGGGAGGAGTCCTGCGGAACTGCTTATGGGCCGCCGCCTCAGGTCACCGCTCGACCGGCTACACCCAGACTTTGCCGTGGCTGAACCCCCAGGCTGTGCCAACGCACCACGGTCATTCGTCCCGGGAAACCAGGTCTTTGCCCGGAACTATGTGGGGGACATCCCTTGGGTGCCAGCCACAGTAGTGGGAGTCACTGGACCTCGCTCGTACCAGGTGGCACTCGAAGACGGACGCTTGTGGCGACGGCACATAGACCAGCTTAGGCGCAGGGTTGGGGACTTGGACACTACCAAGGTGCCCCCAACTGCGTTTGCGGCTCCAGAAGAGACACGTACAGATGGTGAGGCCCCACCTACACCTCCCTCGCAAACTGCCAGCGTGGAGCCGAACCAAGCCGTTTCAGAACAGACTCAGACCACTCCACTTGCGGAGGCTCCACTCTCAGCAGCGGATCCAGGGGAGTTGGTTCCAACGCCACCTAGGGTCGCACCACAGCCTCAGCGAGAACTGTGTGGCCCTCCGGACTTGGCTACCAGTCCCCGGCGGTCTGGCAGAGTTTCCAAGCGCCCAACTCATTTAAAGGACTATGTTGTTGGACAGGTATCACTGTTGGTCTAAGTATGGGAAATGTAACCGATATGCTTTTGTGCCTAATTGAACCATTACGCGTAGTGCTGTATATAAGGAAACCATTACGATTGTAACTAACGCCTTATCTCGGTGGGGAGGGGTGTTATGTAGTGTAGTTTCACCCTGGGCCAACAGGGGGATACTGTATATAGTTTTCACTCAGGTCTGTAGATAGTTTTCACTCAGGTCCGCGCCAGTTATTTTAGGCGGGAACTCTGGGCTGTTGTGGTTACAATGTTGACAGCCGGCTGCCTATAAATACAGGCCGGCTGAGCTGTTCGCAGTCAGTTCTATTCCAGCTTACCAGAATAAAGAGCTACTTGAAGAAATCGCTGTGCCGGCTGCTATGTCAACCCACGACTTAACAGAAACAAAGCTTAATGTTCCATTTTCAAAGTATAATTTAATTTATTTGTATTTTGAAGGTGATAACTCAATCCCCCCACTCTGAAAGGAGTTGATTACAATCTATTAGCATGGAATCACCATTTAACATTCATATGCATGTAAAAAACAGTTAGATTTCTTACCGAGTTTCCTACGAGTTCCATCATATCTCCCACAGAGGGAGGAAGCTCTTTCTTTGGGCTGGAATGGAACCGCTCTGCCTCTTTGACTTGAACAAGTTGTTCATCCAGGGCTTCTTTCTGGAGCAGCAACTTTTGTGTATGGCCTGCCTGGACACCAAGATCTTTCTCCAAAGCCAAAATCACTCTCTCTTTGCCTCGTATCTCATCCATCTTGAAGAGTTAGAAAGCAACACGATGTGAATTTCTCCAAATACTTCCCATTAAACCGAATGTTACTTTGCCTTACCAACACTTTATGTTAGCCAAATCATGCCAAAGGATAAGTAGTACAGTGGTACCTCAGGATGCGAACGGGATCCGTTCCGGAGCCCCGTTCGCATCCTGAAGCAAACGTAACAAGCGACGGCGCATCTGCACGTGCCGTGTTTTGCCACTTCCGCGCATGCGTTTGACGTCATTTTGACCATCTGTGCATGAGCGAGCGGCGAAACCCGGAAGTAACACGCTCCGTTACTTCCGGGTTGCTGTGGAGCGCAACTCAAACGCGCTCAACCCGAAGCACATTCAACCCAAGGTATGACTGTACTGGATTTATAGCCAGGGCTGCTTCTATGAAAGGAATAAACTTAAGTTCTGTTTTTTGTATAATGTGTTCTTTTGACTTACTTAGTATTAGCCAGTTATGAGAACAATTGAATTCCTTTAAAAAATCTCATGAACGGCAATGTAAAGCAATTGTGAACAGATAGCTGCTTTGATTGATGCAAAACCAGATCTGCTAAGTGTGCCACTCATCAGAGGAAATAAGAGAGACTTGAATAAGAAATGCCCTCCTTCCCCTGAGAGAGAATTACAATACAGGATTAACATCCATTTATTTACAAAATAAAGTAGGGGGAAAGCAAGTGACTGTGACATGACACACAATTATACTAGTGGCAATTAAAAATAGTGGAATATTCAACTAGACAGATGCACAGTAATATTGGGTGAACCTACCAGCCTACGGATGTCCCTCTCGCATTCACGCTTTATCCTATTAATTTCGTCTTGATGGGACTGGTAGGCTGTGCGCAGGTCAGCTGCCTTCATCTTATCTGCCTGCATGATGTTACTCAAGGCTTCTTCCACCTGTTTTTTCCCTGACTTCAGTTCTAGTATCTCCTGTTGCATCTTTATGCGCTCACCATCAAATGATTTCCGGGCTTCTTCCCTGGCCTCATTGAGCAAGGCAGTTTTCACTTTGTCAGCTGCCCCGTCCCGCAGGACATTCACTGTGGACTGCAATCGCTGGATCTCACTGTCTTTGATTTTCACCATACGAGCCACTTCTTGTTCATGTTGCCGAATGAGTACCTCTCGGAGAGCCTGGAGTTCCTTCATTTTCTCTTCGTGGAGTTTAGCCTTGAGTTCAGATATGTAGGCGGTGTGTTTGTGCTGTTCCTGTTCTCGTTCTTGTTTCGCTTCCTGGAGCTTCTCTCTCAGTTTGCTCACCTGAAACACCACCAAAAAAACAAAAGCAGCACATTAGCATGACTATGCAGAACTGGAGGAATGTTTGGGAAGCAAATGAAACATGAGGTAGAGATCTAAAGTCTTTCTGAACGTACAGTGGTACCTCACAAGACAAATGACTCACAAGACAAAAAACTAGCTAGACGAAAGGGTTTTTTGTTTTTTGAGCTGCTTCGCAAGACGATTGTCCCTATGGGCTTGCTTCGCAAGACGGAAACGTCTTGCAAGTTTGTTTCCTTTTTCTTAACACCGTTAATACAGTTGCGACTTGACTTCGAGGAGCAACTCACAGAACGCGGTGTGGTAGCCTTTTTTGAGGTTTTTAAAGCTTTTTGAGGTTTTTGAAGCTTTTCCAAAACTTTCCCGACACCATGCTTCGCAAGACGAAAAAAATCGCAAGACGGCAAAACTCGCAGAACGAATTAATTTCGTCTTGCGAAGCACCACTGTAGTACTTCTAAACTTGGGCTACAGACAAAATGTTTAATACTGATTGGAGTCCATAGCAGGCCTTTGTGTGATCCCACGACAAAAACTCTGTATTTCAAAACTCCAAGTCTTGTGTCACACACACACACACACACACACACACACACGGGTATTACAATATTTTTACACACTACTTTTCAGTCAAAATGCCCTCAAAGCAGCATTCAGTAAGACATATAAAATACATTGATAATACTAACAGATCACCTTTCCATTGTTTAAGTTGGCAGTTTTTTTTTAAATTAATTACATGAAGGCCTAATTTCCACAGGTGGTACTCTTATATAGGAAGGCACCACCCAAGACTTCTGCCTGGCTTGGTGGTCTGTAGCATACTCCTACAACGGCACCACTATTTTCCTCTTCTTTTAATTTGACCTAGATGTTCAAATTCATGGATTTCTTTGCATGTGTATGCATCCTTTAACTCTCTACCCTTCCTGTTTAGTCTATTTCTGTTAAGTAAGCTCCATCCCTGTTTTGTATGGAGGTGAGAGCTGGACCATAAAGAAAGCTGATAGCTGAAGAATTGATGCTTTTGAATTATGGTGCTGGAGGAGACCTCTTGAGAGTCCTGTGGACTGCAAGAAGATCAAACCTATCCATTCTTAAGGAAATCAGCCCTGAGTGCTCACTGGAAGGACAGATCCTGAAGCTGAGGCTCCAATACTTTTGCCACCTCATGAGAAGAGAAGACTCCCTGGAAAAGACCCTGATGTTGGGAAAAATGGAGGGCACAAGGAGAAGGGGACAACAGAGGACGAGATGGTTGGACAGTGTTCTTGAAGCTGCTAACATGAATTTGACCAAACTGTGGGAGGCAGTGGAAGACAGGGTCATGATCCATGGGGTCATGAAGAGTCGGACACGACTAAATGACTAAACAACAACAACATCCCTGTCACTCCAGTAGGCTACAACTCCCATCATCCCTGACCACTGGTCCTGTTAGCTAGGGATGAGGGGATTTCTAGTCCCAAAACACCTGGAGGGCCGAGTTTGCCTATGCCTGACATACAGTATCCACATACATATAAGCAAAGCACAGTGCCGGAATTACTAACCCTTTACCTGTTATTAGTTGTTAATAATAGTTAAGGTGATGAGCGTGGACGTTGCCTTAGCTCAGCAGATGTTGCAAAGAAATTAGATATTAGGATAGCTAATAGGAAGGCAGTTGAATGATAGCCAGGGCTGGAGGAAGGGTGGGGATTGCAGTGAGGTGTTCAGAAAAGGAGATTACAGAATATAAGAAATACATTTAGGCATTTTGGAATCCGCTGGGTCATAAAATTTACTCAAGTGAGATCCTAAAAATGAAATAAAAATTCAGTCCTACTGCTCCACTACTTTCTTCATCATTATTAGCTCTTTAATAAATAGGAGGAGGATTTAAACACAAACATTCAAAGGCCTCCTGATTGAATAAGATTACTGATGGCCCATACTACCTTCAACGAAGTAAGGCAATCTCATTACAGTCATCCTTGCATAAGCTTTTCACTTGTAAGCTCATTGCAAATACAAGAACTTATCCTCACCAGTTTAGTGCTACTGCAAAGGCTACTCCCTTCTGCAGAATGGAACAAGCACAGCAATTAAAAGCAAACCAATGAAATCCTAGCTGGAAGTGTTTTATTTTTGTGAATACTCCTAAACATTCAGTCCCAAAAGGTGTACTGAAGGGGAAACAGTGATTCACCTTAATAACCTCGCTACTTCCAAACGTGGGACAAACATGAATTTGCCTTTCAGTTACATCCCATCACTTTGCACCAAATCTTCTTCAGAATGACTGGACTGAGGACTCATTGAGGATTTAAGGGCATTGCATGGACCAAGTAGGTATAATCCTCAATTGTCAATTCATTTATTTATCAGAGTTTCCTGTGTACAAAGAGTCTGTGAACTAGCACATAGTGGAGATAACTAGCAAGGATTTACATTAGGGGTGAAGCTCTTCAGTCCAAGGGCCACAGTACCCCAGCAGAAAGCTGTCAGGGTTCCCATTCCAGTAGTGGACAGGGCCAGATTCACGCAGTTTCCCAGGGAAAGAGGTGCATTTTTCATTCTTATTTTCAGTTTTCTGCATATGCAAAGAGCCTGTTGGATGAAGACAAAGGCCCATCTTGTCTTGGTGTAGAGACATGCCAGGTTGAACAGACCCCTTGAATGGATATACACAGTTCAATTCACAGTTCCACAGACCAAAAAGCCAATTCCATGTTGCTCTTTTAAGTCCTGATGCCACCTTGACTACAGAGGTTTTGCTTTGCTCTCCTGATTTTCCCAGGATTGGGGAAGTCTAAATTCACTCATCAAAAGAAGTAGAATGGGTTCTGGTTGAGTGTAGCTTCACGATGCTCAGAAATCTTGGACTCAATCAGCCTCAAACTCACCAGAAGGCCCAGTTTGGACAAGCCCTATGTTTAGGGCAGGGGTCTGCAACCCGCGGCTTCGGAGCCGCATGTGGCTCTTTTACACCTTTGCCGCGGCTCCGGAGCAGATCCTAGCGAGGTGAGGAGGCGCATTGTGCGCCCCGACACTCCCCACTGTGGCGGGCGCTGTACTGGCTGTGATGTCGCATGGGGGCGGTGCGTGCGTTAGTCACGCACCGTCCAGACGTCACCTCCCCGCCCGCTGTCAAATCGGAGGGCAGCGGCGCGCATGCTTTAAATGTCGCAATGGTTTTGCGGCTCCCAGGTTTTTTTTCTTCGGAAATGGGTCCAAGTCGCTCTTTTTGTCTTAAAGGTTGTCTTAAAGGCTTCCCCTGGTTTAGGGGAAGATACGAACAAAGCAGCACATTTTCAAATCTATTTGAAAGTCCCTAAAACTAAGGAAGTAAAACTATTTTAGAAAAATGCCTGTGTAAATCAGAACATACACACCCACAATGAAAGATAGCCTGGGCTATGTAGTGAAATAGCAACACAGCATGTGAATTAGAAAATCAGAGGCACTTTTGCAGATAGCATCATCATGAGAACTGCTGTTGACTATATCTGGGATCTCTTGCTCACACATTGATTTCATCTGGTTGGAATGATAAAAGCCCTTGTTTATCATTACAGGCACAGGTACAAACCTAAAGCTTGCTACAACATTCCGCTTCCCCTCTGGTAGGGATGGGAAGAAGGGTTTTGAATTTTCCACTTCTGTTTTAGACTAAGTTGAGGTAAGAGCTATGCCTGACTCCAAACTGCAGTTAGCCTTGCCTTAGCTGAAACAAACTAAATATAGTTACTGTATTTTTCAGTGTATAACACACCCACACCCACACCCATGTATAAGATGGCCCCTATTTTTTGGGACTCCAAATTAAGGAAAAGGGAGGAGATTGCCCAGAGTTGCTAAGCTTTTTTGGGGGGGGATTGCCCAGAGTCGTTGAGCTCACCCGCCTGACCACCACTGCCAGTCACACGTCTCGCCAAAGCCACCAAAGCCATCTGTCAGCAACCGCCAATCGACTGCCCAATTGCTGCAGCAGAAGCCAATAGACAGCCACCAATCACCTGCACAATCGCCACTGACAATCTCCTGCTCGCGGCTGCCAACAATCGCCCGTCCCCCCTCTGCACTATCCGTGTGTAAGACAACCCCCAATTTTTAACATTTATTTCTAATAAAATAACATTGTCTTATATACTGAAAAATACGGTATTCTCAACTGCAGTTTAAGGTTCCATTCAGACACAATGCTAAACTCTGGGTAACTAAGCCACAGCCCTCACAGCAATGGCAAAGGGGAGCCCATAACCCCAAGTGTTCTACATGGAACAATAAACCTTTGTTTATCATTACATCCCAAATGGGTTATTATGTTTGTCCGTAAGCGTGAACACCATGCAATATTTGCACGGACAAAAGATGTATTGTGTGAACCAGCCTCAAGAAGTTGGCAATTTCCCTGTCCAATTGAGTTAAGTTCCCCACAGTTACTCATTATGCATGCCAGAGAAACAGAGGGGAACAGCATAACTAAAGAATAGTAACTATAATCACTTCCCAATTTTGCTGACTAACAAGCAACACTGGAGAAATTTGGCAGCTGGTTACTTGCATAGCCATCTAGCAAGGACAAACAGCAAAAATTCAAGGCAGCTCCAAAACATGACAGCAAGCAAACGCTACTGGATTATTAGAAACAGACCATTTCCATGCCCAACATTACACCTTACTTCTGTAAACTGATATCCCTATGCTAATGAACAATCTAGAGACAAAGGTACTTAATATTGGTAGGAGAGCCAGGAAGCAAAGACTAGCCTGGCATCTGAAGTCAATGAACAGTGTAGTCCTTAAAAGCATTATTTGCTCATTCAGTGGTGATGCTTATGCAGGATGGCACCGCAGCAGAAACTCCACCTCAACCTACTCACCCTCGTTAAAACACCTGTAGAGAGCACACACATTTACAGCTGAACGTATAGAGGGCTCTCTGTGTCATCAGAAATCTTGGCAGAGCCTCCTGCACACACTCAATGAACATGCAAAGAACATCTGTTAAGGGGAAACTAAAACACTAAAATAGTTACAAAGCCATCACTTATATATAAAATTGGCTAAACACACATCATTAATAAATCTCAGCTTTCTGTATATGTACATACGTGCCTTAACAGCACAGAAAGTTTACTGTATATTGCTTTTTACAAAACAATCCCACTCTTAAGAAAATCAAGCAAGAAAAACAATTACTGTTAAAAAGGAAACCATGTTGGGATAAACAAGCTATTTAAACAAACCCCTAGCTACCAACTTGCAAAACCCTGTCTAAAAGAGGATGATAAAATTCTCTTAAGCGAGTGGCTTATTATTTTGTTATATGCAATACAAATGTTATACTGCCTAATCAAAATACCTGAGCTGTGGACGCCTAAAGATTTCACAATATAGTGTACATGTTTTGAATTTATATTGGGATAATATACAACTAATATCTTATTGCAGAACACTTCAGAGAATGCTTCTGTAAACAGAAATGTTTTAAGTAGTCATCTAAAACTCATCTTTGTGACAGCTGCACCAAGTCTTCTTTTTCTGCTGTAAAGGTGAAATACTTATTTCTCAAAAAGCAAGGAGGAAAGGGCAGGATAATTATAGCAAGGAGCTTTTTCTGAAAGTTTATTGCTAAATAATTAAAGCCCCTAAATCTAGACATGTATAATCTAGTAGGTCATGTGTGCAAGCACTTGAAAAGGTTTTTGGTATTCTGAATATATATCTATTTCTTGCAAGACTCTCCAATTTAGCGAACCCGAGCTGAACAAAAAAATAAGACTCAGCATTTTACACAGATCTTCCTGAGTTTGAGTAATAATTTATTATTATTATTATTAAAGCTGATACAACAGGGTCTTAAGAGTTTTTGAAGTGAATAATCCACGGCTTAAACGCAGAAGCCATTGAAGTGTATGAAGTTTTATGTGCATAAAGATAAAGGTACCCCGACTGTTAGGTCTAGTCACAGCTTCCGGGTCATATGACCAGCATGACTAAGCCGCTTCTGGTGAACCAGAGCAGCGCACAGAAACGCTGTTTACCTTCCCGCTGGAGCGGTACCTATTTATCTACTTGCACTTTGATGTGCTTTCAAACTGCTAGGTTAGCAGGAGCAGGGACTGAACAACGGGAGCTCACCCCGTCGCGGGGATTCGATACACCAAATCTCTCACATAAAGTAACAAGGCAGAAAGAGCTGCATCCTGGGATCTTTAAAATTATCATTCAAAAATATTATCTATTTGGATAATACCAACAAGCAAAGTAGTTTCATCTGGCTGTTGGTGAAACAGTGACACCAACACCTCCGTTCCAGAAAAAAATATACACACCTTTTTATTCTAAAGCACTGAAATCGAGGGAGCGTCTTTCCAGAAAGGAGAAGCTATGAAAACCTTGTATGCAAGTTTGATGAGTGTTTCATTTCTTTAAATCCCTTAAGACCTGATGGTATGAGAGCTGCTCATTGCTCAGCTGGACATACCTCCACATATCATTAAGCTTACATACCTTGCCTTTTTCCTGCTGATATTCAATCTGAATGTTTGTCAATTTCATCCGCAATTCCTCATTCGCTGCTGCTTGGACAGCTTCAGCCTCCATGTCCTTTTCTGCCTTTGTGCGGCTTTTCTTCGACATGGCTTCAAATACGTATTCTTATATTGGCAATATATCAACTGCCAAGCAGCTCTGAACATCGAATGTTAAGACGTCAAGCAGCAGTCAGTGCCATCCCATGTAGAAAACCACTGCTCTCATAGTCACTATCCTCAATATTCTAAAGCACAAAATAAAATGGGAAATGAAAGTTAACTATTTGATCAAAGTAGAAATATATTAAAAAAATTAAAAAATGTCCACTAGCGCCTTAGAGACCAACTAAGTTTATTCTTGGTATGAGCTTTTGTGTGCATGCACACTTCTTCAGATACATTTCAGATACTTCAGATATATTTCTACTGTGTCAGACCAACACGGCTACCTACCTGAATCTATTTGATCAAAGAAAGCCTTAAACAAACATAATGCTGTCCAAGATTACTGTGTTTCATTCCCATTTACTGCAGGAGAACATATAACATAACATGAACGTAACATCTCTGCAGGATCTGACTAAAGGCATTTTCAATTAAACTAATGAGATTTAAGAAGTTTAATGTGGCTAAATCATACCCCATGTATCAATATGCCAACATTTTTACGTCAACTGGGAAGTAATATGCACCCTGTTTGGTTACAGTAAAAACCTGCAATTTAAAAAAAGGTTCATTGAATTAATTAAAATTAATTAGACAAAATCTACAGGAAAAATCTCAACAGTGTGTGAAAATTCTGCAAATCTGAGATGCTGCCCAGGGCCAAGCTAGCACTTACAGTAAATATGCTTATAGATTAGCAGTGGCAGGAGAGATAACATCTGATTTAGAGTCTTTCAGAGTACAGTACTACCTGTCTTGTCAAATACTACCAGATAGCAATTTGAGGGCTATTTTGTCACCTAATGTTGTCTTCTACAATGTTGATTACTACATCAAGCAGCATCATGGAAATACTCTTTGCATGTGGGTTTTTTATTGGTGCAGTTAGAAATGCAGCCTAGTGCAATGCAATAAAGGCAAAAGTTACAGAAAAGCTGATCAGTGCTATCCCATCATATTAAAAAGGTAAAGGTAAAGGTACCCCTGCCCGTACGGGCCAGTCTTGACAGACTCTAGGGTTGTGCGCCCATCTCACTCAAGAGGCCGGGGGCCAGCGCTGTCCGGAGACACTTCCGGGTCACGTGGCCAGCGTGACAAGCTGCATCTGGCGAGCCAGCGCAGCACACGGAAACGCCGTTTACCTTCCCGCCAGTAAGCGGTCCCTATTTATCTACTTGCACCCGGGGGTGCTTTCGAACTGCTAGGTTGGCAGGCGCTGGGACCGAACAACGGGAGCGCACCCCGCCGCGGGGATTCGAGCCACCGACCTTTCGATCGGCAAGCCCTAGGCGCTGAGGCTTTTACCCACAGCGCCACCCGCGTCCCCCCATCATATTAAGCACCACATAATTGTCATATTTTCCATAGATCTTATGCAGGCCAATAAAGGCACTCAAACCCAAGAAGTTAAGGCAGCTGCAGTCACAAAGCATAAAGCACTTTTCACAGAGCCAAATTACATGTTTCACTACAACCGCCTGGCTTAACTCTTGCCCTGCTGTCATGATCTTGGAAAGGGAAGCCATTCTTGAACCTTTTCATGGGGTTCTTGGGGGAGGCTCGTAAATCATCTGTTTCAATTTATCATAATAAAAATCACTGCAGAAATAATAGGTTTTTTGCTTAACTGTTGACTCATGTTAAGCTTGCAGTCCACTAAGACCCCCTAGATCCTTTTTACAAGCACTGCTCTCAAGCCAGGTTCCCCATCTTCTATCTGAGGGAACTGCACCTGTTATTCTGCATGACAGACAGCAGCTTTCAGAAGCACAGGGACCCTGTTGGGACAAGAACATGGCTTTGCTTTCATAGCTCGCTCCATCACTAACACTCTTTAGCTAAAGCTTTCACTGTACTACAGCTCTCATCTTTGTATGAAGTGTGATTAGGAAAAATGGATGCCTTGATACACACCTCAGCTGCTTCCACTATGGAGGTTAAAACGAGAAAACTACACCCACCTGGATCAAGGTTGACTCTATCTAATTTAATAATAATAATAATAATAATAATAATAATAATAATAATATACCCCACCCATCTGGCTGGGTTTCCTCAGCCTCTTTAGCTGTCGCTGGCAAATGAGTAGACTCCTTACGCTCAAAGTCCCCTCATTTACTTCTGGTATGATAAATCATAAGGCAGAAACACAGTCATGGCTTTTATTGTATTCATATAAATTTTGAACAGCTATTGTTTTGGCAAAGTGTTATATTTGATCTAGGGCAATTATAGTATTGTCCATGTGTGCAGAGGAAAACTTACTGAAATATAGGGCTCCTTTTCCTAGCAGGCAGTCAAGCACACCTGATTCCTCCTTCCTCAATTTGTTAGGTGTGGATTGTTGGATGAGGGGTCTATCTCACAGTTCCCATTCATCAACTTTTGGGGTCACTAGTGTCATGCCCTTATAGCACCTGAAAACTTTCTGAGTCCTGCCTCCCACAAAATATGGCAAAGGTCATTATCCAACGTACACACCCACCCAAAAAAAGTACGTAGAGCTGAAAGAGTGATGCTCTCTGCAACTTCCTCTTTCACCTCTATGCATTTTTCAAAATTCAGACCGGCACTTTGGCAGCTGAAGAAAAGGTAAAATGGCTGAGAGACTAGGAGGGAAAGGGGAGCAATCTGAGAGGAGAGAGGAAAGCACAGTGTGGGAGGGGCAGGAGATACAGAAAAGAAAAGGTCCTATTGAAATGGCATTGTTTTCCCCTAAAGGGCCTTCTCTCACTCCCCGCCCCAACCATGAAATTACAGATCACATCTGTCTCCACTGACTGAACCATGTGTTTGCCATCACTGCCATGATACAAAAAACAAACAAACATGGATCTGAGGCACAGATCCAGACAGATCATTATAGTTTCTACAAGTGATCCTCAGAAAAACACCATCAATTTTGTGTCTATGAATGTGTTCTGTGATTTGTTGGTTTTCATATCATCCTAAGTAAAATTCATGATGGTAAATAGACTCATAGAACTGTAGAGCTGGAAGGGATCCTGGGAGTCATCTAGTCCAACCCCCAGCAATGCTGGAATCTCAACACAGCCTCCCATCCAATTTTAAACCATACTGGACCCTGCTTAGCTTTGCAAATGTGCTAGCAGTTTTACTGGATCAATATTTTCTGCACTGTTGACAAGCACTAGATCTGTAGATCATAAACACAGATTTATGGAAGGCATGGATATTTGACATCATGTGCAAGGTACTCTGAAATCCTAAAGTTGGGATTTAAAACAGCTTGCCAGGTGTTGCTAAAACAGGAACTCCTCCTCCCCAACTCTAGTCTGCCCTGATGCTGCCCTGAGTATTCCACTCTGCTCACCCACCCAGGTCTGAGTGATACAGACCAGATTGGCCTCCTCATCCACAATCAGATCATGGATGAGGGAGGACTTACTCCAAGCTGACCTGGCATTCAACAGCAGCCACAGACCTGAGGGCTGGCTGATAGGGTAACCACCATTCCCCAGGTTGGAGGAGGGGCTGACATGCAACAGTCAACAACTGCCTCTGCTGTGTGCCCCTTACCTGGCCTGCCCCATCTCCCACACCACACTTCACCCTGCCCCTCTGCTCTCCCCAGCTCCTCTCCTCCTAGGCACATCTCCTCTCCCTCAATGAAAACAAACACCACCAAAAAACCCCACACAAATTAAAAACAGTGAAAACAACTGTAGCAGCAAAGCTGCCAGATGCACCAGTACAACATGTGCAGCTATCAGGTTTTTGGGACCAGCTTTTTGAGACTTCCGGGGAGTGTCATGGCTGGTTAGATGCATCTGTCAAGACGCTGTCAACAGATATAATTAAGTGGTGATTAATGATAGTTCCTGTTGGTCATTTCATCTCTGCGGTACAGAGATAACAAAGGGATTAACTTCTGAATGCTCTGGAAGGATTACTCCCTCTGTGGGACTGATAAATCTTTGAGGAACTCAGACAGGTAAAGACCAGGGGTGGAAGAACCGTTAACTTGCCCTAGCACCACTTAAGAGCCACTAGAGGTTAATCTCTAGGGCAAAGACCAGCAAGACCTCTTTTCTGCAACTACTTTTGAAATTCCTATAGAGACTATATTTACGGAAGTAATCTGTCGGTTAAAACGTGCATGTAAAACACAGCTCAAAGGCTGGTTTAAGAGAATAGATCTTTGAGGGGTTAAAAAAAAATAGTTTTCAGGAAGCTTACCTTGATTTACATTCCAAAAAAGTTTATAACAACTGTTTCTAACAGCCAAGAGTTTGTCCAGTTCTGAGAAGTTTTCATCTCGTTTAGTTCTACTTTTAACCCTCCAATTCAAGGGTATTTATTGCAATGCAAAATTATATGGCTGCTGGCTGAACTTGCTGTGGGAGCATCGGAAGGCTAGGAATGTGTCTTATCTGAGCAAGGACTGTGTAAACTTATTTTAAAGCACCCAGGACTGGGGGGAAAATGTCAGAAAAATAAGCTATTGACTGTTGCAGTTGTACCACAACTTTTAAATGATCAATTAAAGGAATTAAGATGCAGAAATGGGGAAATGTATTGGACAAAGCAGAGACAGGAGAAGATCTTGGGGAAAAATACCAGTGATGATGTGCAAGATCAGGAGGATGGTTCCATACAGATGGCTGAAGATTTATAGCTCTTGGAAAAAACATTGATGATGCTTGGCCAGTCCTAGAGAATGGTTCCATACTGATGCCTGAAGGAGTAGAGCAAGGTAAAGTTGAAGCTATGATGTTGGAGAAGAAAGGACTCTGTATGCAATTTGGAATGAACTCAGAGGGAAAAGCCACTAAGCCTCCTGCAACACTTCTGGAAAAAGAACGGAAAAGCAAGAAATTGAAACTTTTTAAAAAAAGGATAAGGATGTAACACATGGCCAACAGGAAAGGGAATCGGAAGATTTGTATATGAATTTGGGTGTGAATTAATGCCTATACAATTAGTAACCAATGATAGATTATTGTTTTATTATATAACCACAGCAAAGAAAGTCTTGAGGAATAAAAAAATAAGGCCTGCTTTTTTTTAATATTGGAGATAAAGCTGGGATGTGAGTCGGGAGGAAGACTACTGCTGACCTTTACTTATAATAATCATTGGAGAAGCTCTTTTGGACTTCTTGGTTAGAAAGGAAAATGAATGAACTTAAGGTGCCCAGACGGAAGACTGGGAAAACTTCAGCTTGCAAAGGAATAGCTGGATATTACTCGGGATTGAACATTCAATTATTTTGAGGAACTCTTGCATATATAACTGACAGATGGATAGTTGGAAGTCACTTTTACTTATTGCCTTTTTCTTTTTTATTAACTTTTTATTTAGCTTTTTATTCAGTTATTATTTCCTTTAATATTCTTTCTGTCTTATTTGTTTTGTTTCTGCCTCTGCTTCGCCCTGGTCTTTTATTGTATTTTGAAAAGTTTTAATAAAATATATTTTTTTAAAAAGGAACCAGCTTTTTCGCCCTCCTCTCGTCTTCACAGGGGGGCACTGGCGAAGGAAGAGGAGTGCGGGAGGAGCGCAAAGCCCCTGGCAGCGCGATCCCGATGGGGTGCCATCGTGGCTGCCCCCGTCCACGCCCCCGCAGGCGGTGTGCCACGCCCCCAGACGCACGCCGTGCCCCGGTGGGTGGCATACCACACCCTCAGGACATGCGCCATACCCTTGTGGGTGGTGCGCCACGCCCCTGGGATGCACACCAACTGCGCCCCCTCCTGCTCTCCACCTCGCGGTGCTGGAGCATGAAGCTTCGCCACTGCAGGGGGTGGCAGGGCTCAGCCTCCCTCTCTCCTGTTTACCTCTCTGCTACAAACAGCACTCTCTTGGTTCCTGGACCCACATAGCATTGGCCCCATCTTTGCTTTCTAGCTAGTGCTGCAGCCAGGAAATACAGACTGGCCAGTTTTTCATAGGCTATTTATGGTGTGTCTGTAGCCTTCCCAACACACTATCTTTCACAGTGAGAGTCCCAAACACCTATTCCTGCTGGGAGATTTCAATGCCAGAGTTGGGAATGATCATCACACATGGGATAACTGCGTAGGCCACTTTGGAATTGGCAGCATGAGTGAGAATGGATAAAAGCTGCTTGAGCGGTGCTTGTATCACAGCCTCTGCATCAGGAACACATTCTTCTCTAACAAGGCAAAACATCGAGGATCCTGGAGACACCCAAGGTCAGGCCACTGGCACCAGATGGTCTTGATTGCCACCAGGAGATCTGGTGACTGAACTGTGTTCATGTTACACTGAGCTACCACCACAGTGCCAGCTGCGACACGGATCACAGATCACTCCCTAGTAGTGAGCAAGATCCATCTCCAGCCAAAGACAGTTCATAGCACAAAGTATGGCTTGGAATCAACACTAACAGAACAGTCGTACCTGAACTTTGTGAACGCTTCTCTGATACCCTTGAACAAGCTGTACTGAACTGCCCAAGAGATAGCACTGAAGCAAGGTGGAACTACATCAAAGAGGCAACCTAGAACACAGCTGTGCCCTCTTGGGCAAAATATAGCAGCAGATCCCCAACTGGTTTGAGGCTGGCATTGAGGACATGGAGCCTGTTATCAAACAAAGATGTGCTCTTCCAAAGCCCACTTCCCAGCATGTTCACACTCCTGTCTTAGCAAAGTCTACGCTGGCTGGGTCATGTCCACAGAATGGAGGATGGAAGGATTCCCAAGGGCCTGCTCTATGGACAGCTGGCTTTAGGCACCAGGCCTGTTGGCAGAGTGCCTTACAAAGCTGTCTGCAAACGTGACATGAAGGCTGGCAATATCTGCTGCTCTGGCAATGGTAAAGTTGGAGGCAGTGGATGATGAAATGGAAAAGACCTTTGCACAGGTCTCTAGAGCAGGGTTCCCCAAACTTGGGTCTCCAGCTGTTGTTGGACTACAATTCCCAAACATCCTTGACCTCTGGTCCTGCTAACTAGGGATGATGGGAGTTGTAGACTAAAAACAGCTGGAAACCCAAGTTTGGGAAACCCTGGTCTAGAGATATAAAACATCCAAGCGGCTGAGTTGTGTTGGAGGAGGAGTGGAATGAAGCCATGGATGGAGAAATTAAGAGGCATATTGAGCTGGCAAAGACAGAGTTGAAAGAGAAAGGATTATGTGTATAATTTGTACATAAATCAAATATTGTACAAATGTCATAAATCCAGTTAGTGGCACCCCTGGAGTTTCTCATTACCAGCCCTTACTGTGGGAAACCAGGATCCCCAACACATTTTATCCAAGGTGCAACAGAATAGAATAAAGCAAATGTCTAAAAATTGACACCAAATCAATTTATCCTTACAAAAAATGGAAATATCCTCACACTTGTTTCTGAATATTTGCTACCACTAGCCCTGGCAAGTTCCTCAAGAAAGGAATTCTGCTGCTATATTCAATTCAGGTACATTTGATTTACAACAGGTATTGAACACATATGTGTTCTAGAAGCATACTGCAGTCCTAAAAAAATAATAGTTCAAAGTGGGGGAAACACCAAAGGTAATATACTAGAACCCAGGTTACAAAAGGTTGCAAGAGAAACAAACTGTCCTTAAGTTACCAAGAAGCTTAACGTACGCTTAGCTAAAAATAGACAGGATACCTAAACCGCAAACAGAAAATGACAAATCCAATACCTGTAGGGCAAATAATACTACTTTCTGTCCCAGCTGATCAACATCACTCCTGTTGCCTGTGTCTGAAGTCAGTGAGTTTCCTTGCTCTCAGGGCCACCGGCCAAAGATCTAGCAACAGATTGGCACCCATCGATGTGTAATGTGGGAAGAGATCCTCCGATGAAGGCATAAAGAGTTCAAGCGGAGAGGCATCCCATCCATGAGCTGAATTAGATAGACTGAAGAAGCAGAAGTGGCAGGCAAGGAGTCCCCAACCACTGCTAAGAAAGAAAGTCTTCTGCCATTTTAAGAATTCCCCTCTTGCCTGAACTCACATATCAGTTTCCTCTCTGAAGGCAGACCAAGCTGAAAATTACATCTTTTGTTTACTGACCACTCCTGAATTTTTAAATGAGCAGTTCACAGCATGAAATAAATGCTGACATCCAAGCCCAAATACCAAAGATACTTGGTGGACCTCTGACAGTAAGGAGCTATGTAGGCAGAGACGGTTGTATCTTGGGTCGCTGTAGGGCCATGAGAAGGGCCTCCCTCCCGGGTCTCAAGGGCCAAGCTGGAGACAGGGGGAGAAGCTGGAGTCAGGGGGAGAAGCTGGAGACAGGGGAGAAGCTGGAGTCAGGGGGAGAAGCTGGAGACAGGGGGAGAAGCTGGAGACAGGGGGAGAAGCTGGAGTCAGGGGGAGAAGCTGGAGACAGGGGGAGAAGCTGGAGTCAGGGGGAGAAGCTGGAGACAGGGGGAGAAGCTGGAGACAGGGGGAGAAGCTGGAGTCAGGGGGAGAAGCTGGAGTCAGGGGGAGAAGCTGGAGACAGGGGGAGAAGCTGGAGTCAGGGGGAGAAGCTGGAGTCAGGGGGAGAAGCTGGAGTCAGGGGGAGAAGCTGGAGTCAGGGGGAGAAGCTGGAGTCAGGGGGAGAAGCTGGAGACAGGGGGAGAAG